CCCCCCAGCCCCCCACCCATTATCAGTATAATAAACATAAACATGAACGTAAAAATCCCCTCCCTCTTCTCTAAATCAAACGTCCTCAATCTTTACAGTATTACAGAATTACAGTATTGCAAGTTCACATCACATCATATCATCATAATCTTCCAAAGGCAAAGCCAAAAATAAAAACTTGGTCCATTCCTCGAAGTAGTCCTCAATTGGAGAACTTCAATCCGAACTCCACTTGAATTCGCGACGGAGTTGGGTATGGTATCTCGTTTCAACGAATTGAGGTGAGGGAAGGGAGTGGGGGAGGGGTTTATCAAACGTTATGAAAATTGCGGGAATCAGATGATATTGTAAATAAATCTCCTGATTTTTTTCGTAGGTGTACTTTAGAATATGTTAAGTATACAGGTACGATAGGAGAGCATCTGCGATTTCTGTATACCTGATTATGGTGTTATATGGATCAAACTGGAGGGGGGTATTAAGGTATATCCCTTCACGTTAGTTGAATTCTTTTCTTCATTTCGCGGCCCTTGTGCATGCACACAAACTATTGGAGTATAAGGGTCTTGTGGGAACATTGAATTAGTCAGCTGGCATCAAAACCTGATTTCGTAGCGTACTTAACACTTCACCCTCTAGAATACAGACACATTGCTACACACATAAGGAGTTTTTATTTTATGTATAATAGCTTTCCTCTTATCTTTCTTTTCTCTTCCATTTAAGCCCTCTGCTATTACTAGGATTCAATACGGATTCCCATGCTTGCCTTTGAGTCCAATGTGCACAACAATCACATTCATCTTCTACGATATCACAAAGTCTTATTCAACCATGCAAAGACAGCCCTCGTCATCTCTTGTCCAGCCGCCGTTTGACAATGATACCCAGCAGTTCCGTTGAACAAATAGAGCGTGGCCTTGTCCCCCAGAGCATCCTTGACCTGTTGCGGCTGGCCTGGGAAAATATTCTCGAACTGGGCGCTGCCGACGAACACAGGTACGTTGATCTGGCTAACAACAGACTCGAGCTGATACTTCTTGGTCTGATCAAAGAAGTCCGAAGGGGAGTGCGTGTTGAATGCCCACAAGCCGTAGTCCACGCCCCAGGCCGCGTCGCTAGACAGTTTCCCGGCTGCGCGTAGCGAGAGGAGTTCTTGATCAAATTGCGAGTAATTGCCCGCCTCATATATAGCTCTTATATCGGGTGTTAGTTGCGCGGAATAACCAGCATACAGATCCCACACGCCGTCGACGAGGACAGCTGCCGAGATGCGGCTTTCGAAGGCGACGGCCCGCGCTGCGAGGTAGCCGCCAAAGGAGTTGCCCACGAGCGCGAGCCGGTTCTCGTCCACGACGTTGGCCTTTTCTGACAAGACATAGTCCACGACGGGAGTAACGACATTCTCCCAGTCGGGAATAAAACCTAGTTCTTGTTCTCGGCGGATCGTGGGCTGCCCGGGGCCTTCATACGTGATGCAATTCCAGCCACGAGCTAGGGCAGAGGCTACAAAGTAGTGGTAGGAGTCTTCTTGGGCCGCGTCAAACCCGTTCCCAATCACCAGCGTAGGCAGTTTGGCATCAGGGCTAGCGGATGCTGCATACCAGATGGCATCAATGGTGAAGCTACCCTTGGTCGCTGGAAAACGCACTCGCTGCCCCGGAATAGGCAACGCCGCAATGGCGGCGTCGAAAGCCGCCGTCTGCTCAGCCCACAAGCTGGTAAGGAGAGGGTTGTCCCAGTCGTTGTGCAGGAGAATGTCGGCGCGCCGAAAGTACTGCGACGCCGAGAACCACGTCTCGCGCACATTGATGCCATCGTAGGCGTTCTCTGGGTCCGCAGCTTGGGCTTTGGTATCGTTGGCCAGCGCATAGAACTGCTCGCTGAACGAGGAGAAGTCTCCAGGGATGATGTTCTTAGCTGCGCCTAGGACGGGCCCGATATCTGCTCCACCGGTTATGGCATCGCCGAGGGTTATCAGTAATTGGAAGTTGAAAGCTGAGTCGGTGCTCAGCGGCAGAGTGGGAGAGTCTGAGTCGTTGGCTGCGGTGGCTGTCAGCGAAAGCATCCAGGCCGCCAGAATAGGATGGGTGGCAAGAGTAAGTTTCATGGTTGAAGACTAGCAATGGAAGTGAGCTTGTAGGCACAGAAAGTTCATCCAGTGTTGATTACTAGATGGGTTTTTTAATCTCGTCCGTTCTCTCTCCTCAACTTATACTCTCCCGCCGACGCCTAGAGTCATAACGATAAACAAGAACCCCATCTACCCACCGCATTGAAGAAGAATCTCTCTCAACTCGCTAGCTTGTATCAAGTAACATCTTGCGAGGGAGACTGATGACTGGTGCTGCAATCCTTTGCAAGTCAATACTCCGTAGAGTGCTTTGAAATGCACGTGCCAATATGTCAATCTTGCTCAGCTACTTTTGCAGATCGTTCGTATATGTAGAGAAGAGACATTAGCTCTAACTAAGTAACTGTTTTGCGAGGAAAGATGATGATTGGTGCTTGATATGCATGCCAAGCACAGCGCACACATTGACGCGTATAAAGATGTTACTCCGTGCGGCGTAAAAGTAATTTAATTCCATTTTAGGGTTTAAAATATACGCTTAGACTAGTGCATACCTGTTTGGCCAATCATATGACTAGGAACTGTACTTAGATACAGTAGATCGCTCGATCATCACCTTAAATCTTAACTATAGAAAAGGCGGGGCACGAAATACTTTTACGCCGCAAGGGACTCAGCCCTGCCACTTGACGTAGATCTATATTATAAGAAATGACTTCGTATGTTATTGTCGACGTCCGAGGAACCCGCACATAGTACACATGACAGGGCGGAGTTTACGCAGCAAGGTATGCATTGATGGAACCAAGAACAAGCTTATATAAGAGCAGCACAACGCTTATAATCACTAAGATACTTCGTCGCAACAAAACTACCTGTTTCGGCAACGTTACTATTATTACCTTACCGATACTATGGTAAACCGTGGGCTTTCTACAGGCTGTGGGACATGCAAGGAACGACGTGTTAAATGCGACGAAGCGAAACCCAAGTGCCAGGCATGTCAGCGCCTTCAGCTTCACTGCTCCGGTTATAGAGCAAGACCGCCGACGAGGATCAGGTTCAAACACCAGAATTACAGGTTCCCAATTCCCGGTCAAGAGTCGCCGGCAGAGGGGGCTAGGGGGGGTCCAGTCTCGGTTCGGGTTCCACTTATACTCCGCGAACCCTATCCCGATCCCGATCCCGATTCTGCCGTACCGTTCTTTTTCGCCTATTATGCAGCTAGCAAAGGTCGGGACATCGCATCAGCCCGTGGTTTCTTCGAGACCCTCGTGCCAGTCTATACATCGCAGCGGCACGACTCCGTACTATCGCTGGCCATCGCAGCCGTGGCATCGGTAATACTCTCCCTATGGCGGCGCGACTCAAGGAGCCTCAGCCTGCAATGGTCACGGCAGTCTTATACGGCGGCCATCGCATCTCTGCGGAGTATATTACAGAACGATATACTAGCAGAGCAGGACAAGCCCGCAACAATGTTAGCCGTGCTCGCCCTACAGTTCTACGAGAATATCGTCGCGGTATACGGGTATCGCTCCCCCACGCCCATACACCTTCAGGGCGCCGTGTCCTTACTCCCAATGACAACGCTAGATAGTAATGTGAACGCAAACGCATATATTCGGAAATATATTCTCCACATTGAGATTTCATCGGCGTTGCGCCAGAAACGGCCCTTGCAGAGCATCGCGTACTCATGGCTCAAGAGCAGCGAACCAAGTGCTGGGGCAGCCGCAGCTACCCCCAACCTGAGCATGGCACTAGATGTGATCGGGGCATCCGTCGCCGAGTTCCAGGCCAAGCACGACAGCTTCCTGGCAAAGGGCCCAAGGGAGTATGAGTATGAGCATGAACAGGAACGGGAACGGGAACGGGTAGCCCAGGCACAACGGCTTGATGCACAGCTTCTGGCGTGGGCACGAAGCGTGCCGAATCATTGGCAGCCGCGGAGGCTGACTAGTACCCAAGACATAGACCCATCTATTCCTACTTATCGTTCGGTGTGCGACGTCTACCCGTCCTGTCAAATCGCAAGCGTATGGAACCTATGGCTCTCTCAACGCCTGATACTAGTCAAGATTGCTCTTGGCTCGCTCAGCGTCATTCTTCATGCAAACGGGGAAAGGGGCCAATCCGAAGTCACACAAGACCAAATTCCGGCTATAGAGCTAGATAAGGATTTTATCCTACATCAAGAACGCCTCCAGCGGCTCGTGGATTCCGTGTGCTATAGCGTGCCCTATTACCTTGGAAACCGAACGACGTTATCTAGCCTCGCTGACTTTACTAACCCATCGATTTTGCTTCCAAGCCGTAGCTGGGATAGCAGGTGTCCAAGTCCAAGGAAGCAAGATGACGCTGGGCCTGGAGCGATACAGAGAGATGAATATAGGCACCATGTTATTGCCAAAGGGCCATGGCACGTTCTGAGCCCATTAAGTCACCTGTTAACCCTGTTATTAGAAGACCAAGGTTCGCTCATAACGAGCTTCCTTCGACCGGGGCAGCTCGAGTGGATCCAAGGACAGTTTATACGCGTTACTATCTTGCTTGGCCTTCCACTCGAAGCAGGTGTAAGGCAGTGGAGAGAGGGAGAAGATTTCTTGCAGCCGTCGGTCTATGGATCTGTAGATACTATGGCTAAGGCTAGTTATCTCGCAGGGGAAGTTAGGAAGGGTACGGTGTTTATGAGTGGGCTGTAATATAAAAATAAAATGCATTAGATTCTCCACCTTTTAAAGTGGTCTCATAAATAAGTGTCTGATTTAGCTCAGCTTTTGCCTATGGTATTCTCCTTTTCTGTCTAGCATTTACTATTTCTGTTCCTTTCTGGCTTGGTAAAGTGAATAATTTATCTATAAGATTCCCTTGCTTTGCGTTACGGTACAGTACGATGCGACGCTGCAAGACGCGTGCGGTTTGGGGTTTCAGACGCGCTGAGCAGAGGGGGTCGGTCACGTGGATATTGTCAATGTGGACTTCCCATCTTTAGGGCTTGGAATATGAATAGTTGTAAATATACATATGCATAAACTACTAGTATTGCGACTGATAGAGGAGCGTGGGTGGAATTCTTCGATGCTGGCGTTGCGGAGGTTAGGACACGTGATGGATCTTTGTTTTGTTTCCTTTCCCCCGCCATAGGTTGAGGTTCAGAAATAGTCGTGTATGAAAGGAGTGATTCCGATGGTAAGCCGAAGAATTTCCATGCGTGCCTTGACTTGGCACATGATATACATACATACCGAAATCTGGGGTTGTTGAGGAACAGTGCCCGCCAGCCCGCCAGGGACGGATATGTTTTCCCAATCGAGTAGTCGGTTGTACGAAGAGCCCTGGCTGGCTTAGTGATTGTTGGATTTTGGTTTTATGAAGTCTAGAATTTACTGTGTTCAATATTGATCGCTCGTATGGTATGGTGGAATGCCACTGGATATGTGATGTAGAAGAGAAGCTGGTTTTGGGGTTTTGGGGTTTTGGGGTTGTAATATTCACAGTGAGTCCTGCAGCTACATGGGATGAATGCGGTGTATCTATTTGTATCACAACAGGCTCCGCATCTACTCGTACAGGATTCAACAACCAAATCAGAGGAGGTTTAACCATATGGTTGCACAGAATATGGTCGCATACCCAAGGCAAGGAGGGGCATTACCCCGCAATCAAGACATCAGCGCCAAGCAAATTGAGATGTGCGTACAGTACTGGTACTCGAGTCCAAGCAACAACAGCCTTGACCTCTCCCGTAAGCAAAAAATGAGATCATGTTTCAAGTGATTATATAATAGTCATACAAGGTCCGGATTACTAAAACTACTGAGGTGATCCATAATAAGCATTTCGGGATCATCATCGTTCGATTCGGTGCTTCAGGGCCGAGAAGTGGATTGAAGGATGGAACTCATTCGGAAAAGATACCGAGAGTACCTGAGGTCGCAACGACCTTGGGCTTCCGAAGTCTCCGAGACATCCCCGCTTAGCTTATCGATAGTTGCGGTGCGGTGCCCAGGCAGATTACCCCGCAATCAGCATAAACATACGAAATATTGGTTTCCTATAGGTGGTATAAAGCTGTAAAAAAAAAGGAGAATTGATATGAGATGAAATGATGGAGGGAACATGAAACATTCAGAGGAAAGGGAAAGGCAGACAAGCTTGAATTGGAAATGTTATTCAGGATCTCTATACTTTACGGAGTAGAGCCCCGCAACCAATGTCCTTGCTGTATACCGAGCCACCGAGCCTCACCGAGAAATGCACAGCTAGACCTCTAGTCAAACGTAAACCGCCATCCCCGCTCCGCTCCATCTTTCCCTGACTAGGCACGGTAGGTCTCGGAGACGTGGGACCATTCATTCGCGGTGATGGCTGGCGCTGGGCTTGAGGTGGAGTGGAGAAGGAAGTCTTGAGGGCGAGACCAGTGATGATGTTGGTGTCTGCATTAGGTCAAAAGAAGAGGGGAAGAGGGAAAAGGGATGTGTTTAGTGGGGGGAGAGGGGTGGTATAAAGGAGTGAGCTGTTCCCAAGGTTTAAATGCTTGTTTTCAGCTGAATATCATCCTCTTCTAACACGCATCGGTTGATTCTGCAAGGTAAGTCATAACAACTCCACATTCCTCATCTTCACAACATCACCCGGCAAGTAGATGGGAGGATATTCCACTGTCCTATCATCCGAACGGCTTCATATATGAAACCAAACTTCTGGATAAATGCTGACGTCGAGTCTTTAAGCAGAGATCCCGAACCCCGCATTTCCGAACAACAGTACATCAACACACCACTTCCCTCACATTCCCCTCACAACACAAGGAGGTCTCTCATAAATCCTTCACAATGGTATTTCTCACTCGTTCACTCTGCCGCATCGCTTCCCAATCAATTGCCCGCCCTTCTCTTGCAGCAGCTGCATCGCGTGCATCCCTTTTTACAGCTTCCGCTGCGAGAACAAGCCCGCTTTCGCGTCGAGCTTCCTTGGGTCACAGCAACCTGCACCTGCACAACAACATTGGACATATCAGAACGCTGACGGGAAAACGTGAAAAGGTCAAGGTTCTTCTTGTATTATACGATGGCGGCAAACACGCCGAAGAGGTAAGTCAATTCTCCATATCCAATACCGTATGGATTAGAAACAATTGCTGATACCTACTTGCAGGTCCCAGAACTTCTAGGCACAACAGAGAATGAGTTGGGTATCCGTAAATGGCTCGAGGATCAAGGACACACTCTTGTCACTACCTCTGACAAGGAGGGTGAGAACTCCAAGTTCGACCAGGAGCTCGTAGATGCCGAGATCATCATCACCACTCCGTATGCCCTCTCCCTTTCACTTCGAGCTCTCATCCTCTAACACAACCCAGCTTCCACCCCGGCTACCTCACCGCCGAACGTCTCGCAAAGGCCAAGAAGCTCAAGATCGCCATCACAGCCGGTATTGGCTCTGACCACGTCGACCTCAACGCAGCCAACACCACCAATGGCGGAATCACAGTAGCCGAAGTAACAGGCTCCAACGTCGTGTCCGTGGCCGAGCACGTCGTCATGACAATCCTCGTACTCGTCCGTAACTTCGTGCCAGCCCACGAACAGATCCAAGCAGGCGAGTGGGATGTCGCTGGCGCAGCCAAGAACGAGTTCGATCTCGAGGGCAAGGTCGTCGGTACCGTTGCTGTCGGTCGTATCGGTGAGCGAGTCTTGAGACGTCTCAAGCCGTTCGACTGCAAGGAGTTGCTATACTTTGATTACCAGCCCCTAAAGCCTGAGATCGAGAAGGAGATTGGATGCCGAAGAGTGGAGAATCTCGAGGAGATGTTGGCGCAGTGTGATGTGGTTACCATCAACTGTCCTCTGCACGAGAAGACTCGCGGTCTCTTCAACAAGGAGTTGATCTCCAAGATGAAGCCCGGTATGCCCCCCTTCTTCCTACTTCCTACCTCCCTTCATATTCTAACAAATCCCTCAGGCTCCTGGTTAGTAAACACGGCCCGAGGCGCCATCGTCGTCAAGGAAGACGTAGCCGCCGCTCTCAAATCTGGCCACCTCCGCGGCTACGGCGGAGACGTGTGGTTCCCTCAACCAGCACCAAAAGACCACCCTCTGCGCTATGCGAAAAACCCCTTCGGTGGTGGCAACGCCATGGTGCCCCACATGTCGGGCACGTCCCTCGATGCGCAGAAGCGGTACGCTGATGGCACCAAGGCGATCCTGCAGAGCTACCTGAGCGGCAAGCATGATTACCGGCCCCAGGATCTGATTGTGAAGGATGGGGATTATGCGACTAAGGCGTATGGACAGAGGGCGAAGGATAGCGGGTCGGCTGGTGCGAATAAGGCTTAGGGGTGTTGATGAATGGGATTGGGGACATTGTAGCTTTATCATTGCGCTGGTAGGATCTTTTTAGGAAATAAGAATAAAACAAAATTAAATTAAATCTTTGCCTTACATTCACTTTCATAATACACCATAATATGTTTTACCAAATGTCTTGTCATTTTGGTGACTCATATATTGACTTGCTCTTACTAGCTCCCTCATTGACTCCAATATTCTAAACTTCTCAAGATGTCTTATTCAATATCAAGAATCCACTTGTTCTCCAGTCGATAATATATCACAGCGTGGAAACTCATTGCATATTAAATGTCTATTGTTTCGCACTTTTGACTTTTAAGCAACGGGTTTAGATACAAAGGAGACGGAGCAGTCGTCGGAAAGGTAGAGTACCCTACTTATTATTGTTGCGGCTCTGCTAACACTGCGCGATTAGAACTGCGACAAGAACACCTTTTCTGAAACTGAACACTCATGAACGAACGAACGAACGAACGAGCGGTGTTTATTAACAGCGAATGTTTATCTAACAGTTATCCTACCATTTCTTCTCTCTAACATATATATCCTAGAGATATACGCATAATTCAATCAATCCAGTTCAATATTGATATCAGAGCTTATACGAAAGCAAGCACATATGAAGACCAAGTCAGATACAAAAGCGTAAGCGTCATCATAATCATGATTATGTTAATAATTTTCCTAGTAGCAACATGGAAGATCAGTAAAGGGCGATCTCTGAATACATACAGATGGGAATTCGAGTGCCTCTTAGGAAAAGGGTAGTCATAACAAGGGACCGTAGAAGTGGGAGGGTATAAATAACCCTAGTGAACCTCCAAGCCCCGCAACCGGAGCTCTGGTTGCAATCACATGGGCGGATGAGAACTTTAAGCATGCACATCGATGGTCGGGCAAGGTCTTAGAACCACCAAACACAGGGGCATATGGCCTCGATGATGATAGCAGTTTCAGCGTAGCAATACTTGCATACCAACTATAGGTGAGAATGGGTACAGACGAGGCATGAACGAACGAATGAACGAATGAAAAATGGGAACTTGACAGCAATTGTGAAATTTGAGGATATCATCCTAGTGGTATGCGCAGTGAGAGCTTTACGCACGAGTTCAAGACAAAGAGAGCATCAAGAGAGCCGGCATTGGCTTTTCAGTATAGACTAACACTCTTTCCACGAACCATATGACCTCTTGGAGGGTGTTATTGTATTAGGCCTTTGAGACGAGCGTCGATGGATGTTTTATAGGTCATCTATGCCGTGTATCAACAATTGATAAGACTCCTTCCTGCACATTTATCAGGCGGATAAAAGTCAATCCCAACATCCCTTAGAGTGTTGCATGAGCAGAGAGCTCTAAAATGAGAAAAAACGGAATTATTAATTCTTCGGAATCCCCCTATTCCCCCTAACATAACCTTTCGCAGATATAGCAGCTCAGGTGCCGCCAAAATAGCTAGCTCCCTACCTGCAAACCTCTTCAAGTCAACATACCTCAGCTGGCTAGGCCGGCATGAGACGGATAGAAGACTAGTATGTTATACTTCGACCTGTTCTACTCGTTTTAGCGAAGCAGGAAACCTTCCTTCGAGGCGCGGGTTATGCTGGCGCAATCCCACCCACGAGTCTTCTCAGAAATGCGTTTTCCGACATGCTGCATGTGGATGGGCCATATACCCTTGCGAGCAGTATGTTTATATAGCGCTTGGTCCTTTCTCATACTTCTTCTCGTCTGGCGTTAGAGGCGATTTGTTAAGTACTTGGAAAATATTGTCCAGCAATTCCATCCCTTCACGAGTTCGTTATCCCTATGTAAGTTATAGAACCTAACTGGTAAACAGCAGTTCGTGAACATACTAAGAACCGGCGAAGAAATTAATTATATTATGGTTATTTTCCGTTTATTATAGAAGATTGTTAACGAGGAGGTCAAGGCAAGCAAGGTTAGGGAACGCTTAATAATAAGTGAAACTAAGCCTAATTCGGCGGGTGTCAAAGTCCGGACTTAGAGGACTGCTAGGTAAGTAGCATTCATTATGAATAACTGCCTAATTGTATATTAATCAATTACCTGAGATGCGTTATCTCTATCTAGCTAAAGACTTAAAGCCTCTTATTACTCTCTCTATGCATCTGGTTTGGTATTACCCAAGCAGGTTAGCTCGCACTCGCCTCGGAGCCTTGCTGATAAATCCGGGGCTTATAAGTATCCGAATTATCTATCAATTACAAACATAGTACATCATCCAATCATTTATTCTCCAGGTTTGTCATTTAAGTATCGCAATTTTCTTTCTTTCATATGTACCTATACGATTAGAAAAGACATAATAAAAGCAGGCAGGGTATGAGATATCCAAAAAGCCTCGCTCTATCTTCCACCCGTACAATAATTCATCTTCCATCCCCCACTCCCCCACTATCCTACACCCTCACCACCAAAACCATGGCAACACCCCCACCCCCCCGAAAACCAATCCTCATCTCCGGCGCCGGTATCTCCTCCCTCCTACTTGCACAATCCCTCCTCCGTGCCCACATCCCCTTCCAGATCTACGAGCGCGACTCCTCTATCTCCTTCCGCGCCCAAGGCTACAGACTGCGTCTATCAACCGAGGGTCTCGACGCCATCGAATCCGTGCTCAGCCCTGCCGATTTCCAGGTCTTCTGGGACACGTGTGGGAAAACCACCGGGGCGGGCGGTGGATTCACAGTCCTCGATGCGCTGACTGGATCCCCCCCTCCTTCGAGTGAAGGGGAGGAGGGGAAACCAAAGCGCCAAGACCAAGGCCCGCCCGTGTCCCTTACATCCCGCGATGGCAAGACGATAGGGATTTCGCGCGGCGATATGCGCAGGTTGTTCATGGCGGGCTGCGAGCCGTTTATCAACTGGTCGCACCACGTGACGGGGTACGAGGTGACGCCGAACGGCGTGCGAGCCGTGTTTGCAGATGGTGGGAAGGGGGTTGAGGGGGAGCTGCTGGTTGGGGGCGAGGGGATCTATTCCGGCATCGCGAAACAAGTATCGGGCGGCAAACTCAAGACGTACGACACGGGCGCGCGAGGAATCCACGGACAAGCGCCAACCACGGCCTTCAAGGGCCTAGGCGAAGGCGTCTGGGCCATCCGCGATTCTTCGCGGAAAGAGGGCGCTGTGTTCCTCATCACGAATGTCCGGCCGGGCGATATGGATGATGCCAGCGTGCAGTTTGGCTGGACCATGGGCTCGCATCCCGGAGTCATTCGCGCGCCCAACGACGATTACAGCACGATTGGGGCCCCCGCCGCTTCTATCGCACAGGACCTGACGACGGACTGGCATCCTCGCCTCCGCCCCCTTTTCGCGCAGATGAACGTGTCTGAAGCTGCGTTTTGGAAAATCACCTGCTCGACACCGAGCGGGGTCCCGGAGTGGGCAAACGAAGCGCGTGTGACGGTGATTGGGGACGCGGCGCATAGCATGACACCTGCTGGGGGCATAGGCGCGAATACAGCGGTGAGAGACTCGGCGTTGTTGGGGAGATTGTTGGGGGAGAAGGGGGGGTGGGAGAAAGGGGTGACGGAGGTATATGAGAGGGGTATGAGGGAGTATGCCAGTGAGGCAGTTAGGGCGAGTTACGGGATGGCTCGGACGCAATTTGGGATTCATATTGATGATAATTCGACGACTGTTTGAAGAGGTATACTGTAATATTACTATAATTGCAATTACATCTAATGATTCCACCCAGCCTTGAATCGTGCGAGTCATTCTTAACTAGGGAATACGCAAAAATATAATGGTGGAAACCAATATACAGGAACTGCCAGGTCAATCGACTCATATCTTATACACCCGTATAAAAGTAAAAGAATCCCCTCCTATTAAGAAAGTTCAATAACAAGAACAGACAGGCAGAGACTTGAAGCTGTAATGAAAAAAGACAAGATTCTTCAAGTTGAGAGACAAGACATCCAGGACACAAGTTATTTATTCGGTAGAAACGGAGAGAACAGAAAATATGTACTGTTAATTCCAGAACCGGATATATATACGCCGTTACTATGTATTTATCCACCCATCCCTCGAACTCCGCAACACCTCCCTCTCTCTATAGGCCAACGGAAAGAAAATAAAGAAAATAAAAAGTATCACACTGCAACATCTACCTCAGCTCCTCTCTCCACACGAAACATGCCACCGCCAGGCTCTGCCTGGGGAGTACCAAACCTACTCCAGCCCGCACTAGCCTGCTCACCTACCCACTCCATATCGCCCATAAAGCCGCCGCTCTCCCCATGCGCGCCCTCCTCCAGCGGCACATTCCACATCTCGTTGCCGGGCTCAAAGGTCAGGAAGTCATTGAGATCCAACTCGTTATTGTGGAATAGGTCTCCAGCAGCGGGGAAATGGTTGAAGTGTTGATGTTGATGTTGCTGTTCCTGTTCCTGGTCTAAACTGCCGTCGCTATCCGGTGGGGTATGGACGGAGATGTCGTGCGTTTTATGGATTTTGATGCCGATGTCTACCATGCCGCTACCGTTGAAATCGGGCATCATGTCGTCGGTAAGAGGTGGCGTTCGTCGATCAACCACGCGTTTTTGCTGTAGCAGTTCCTTGACCTTGCCGCTGCTCAATACATCCTCGGCTCTCATGCGCTCCCTTGAGCTGGACATCACCACGTCAATGTCGGCACGTTTGATAGCTGCTTCGAGGAACTGTGTTGCAAAGTCAGCCGAGGCGTAGGTGTCGCGTAGTTTTTCTAGCACCACCATGCATTGGCAGAAGCCGTCCATGGCTTGTTGGCGAGCTTCGTCGTTGGAGGATTTGATGTCTAAGAGGTGGATGATGATGGCGGGAAGCAAGACTGTGACACCGGTCGTCGGCAAGTACTTCTCAAGCCCGCGAGTGTGTAGCGCTTGCGCTATCCGAGTGATTTCCCGCGAAGCTTCACGAACCTTCTTCCGTGAGAGATCCTGGAGTTCTCGACTTGAATCTGGCAGGCCTCCTGAAGGCAAGACTTGTGGTCTGTGGAGCGCAGAAAGAGTGGTAAAGTAAATCATGTGCAGTAATGATCTCTGCACGAACATAGATGGCCCGCTGCTACCCATTGTCACCTCGTTCGAATATACGCACGATTCAGGCAGCGTGTTAATCCACTCGCTCAGCTCTGTATCGCAGCGTCTGACTTCGTCTGTCTGGTCCAATTTCTTGGGGAACAGCATCACGCTGGAGCGGGTATTTCCTTCCTGGCCTTGCATTCCTTGGTCTTTGATGAGGACTGAGTATTGTGCGCTCAGGACATGGCTGATACATAGACATAGCTTGGCCTTGGCTATGCACATTTCTGCTAATTGTTTTTGCGCTTCCACGTCTCTGGCTAGAGTGTTCTCCGGTGGGATTATAGAGTTGCTTATTGGAAGGGGAGTGACGTCGAAATCGTCCGCTGTCAACATAGGGACATCGTAATCTTCGTCTTTTACGCGCGTCGGTCGTCTCATTCCCAATGCCACGAGTCGATCACGCATGAAGCAGGACCACCATATCCGTTTCCATAATTTCTTTTGCTTTGGTTCCATATTTGATTTATCTGGGTTTCTGTGTAGTCCAATTGTGTGTGCGAGTGAGATCGCTACGCCCATCCAATGCCATGTGTCTTTCTGATCGTCTGGTGTCTCGTACCAATATGTCATGAGAAGGAGTGATTGTACGAGAGCAAGGCGATCTAGTTCGTAATCGAAATCGTAGAGCACCTAGGCTAGTTAGCAAAATCCTGAGCGAATCGTTGTCTGCCATACCCTAGCTTTCAGAAAGAATGCCTTCCTCGCAGCTTTTCGAGTTGAGAAGCCCGCTTTCCTCAGCATCTCCACGTCCACAAATGCCGTGCCGGCAAACATGATTGCTTGGAAAAGCAGCAGGCTTAGTTCGCCAGACTGTCCAGTCCCCTCATCGATGATATGCAGAACTTCGTGGGCGTCGACTAATGGCATATACGGATGTACATACTCGATGTAGGCTTGGAGGAGTGCATTTCGGACAGGCGTTTCGGGGAGAGATAATGCGCCCTTCGCAACCAGGTAATCGACGTCCACAGAGGCTATTCGCTGCGGTAGTGGTTTTAGGTAACCAGGCAGCTGGTGCTTCGACAATGTAACAGGCGTAGCAGGAGTAACAGGAGGATGGGCGGGCGATTCGAGCCTGGTTGTGGTTCGGTCACCACTCATAGAAACAGATTTGAGGAGCGAGTCGTATGTCACGTTATTTTCCACTGCGTAAGGAGAAGGTATGGGTATATAGCTAGCTCTTCGCATCATGTCTCCTTGGTCAATCTGCTGGGTCATGTTTTGGTCTTTGGATGTATGTGTTAGATGGTTCAGGAAATTTCAAATTCAAAGCTTACAGATTGAATGGGGCACATGTCCATTATCTCCTTGATCACTAGACATTTGTGACCCGCTCCATCTTCTATCCGCATTTACGATATCTGAAGGGTTAACAATTCCATTTGTCCAGGCTTGCGTAGCTCCATTTGTGGCGGACTTGGGCGCTGGAGTTGGGTCGGCTGGCTCTCCATTCAAATGCTTTCTGTGCAGGGTCAGTATCTGAACCTGTATAACAGCCACTGAACCTTACTTTCTGCGTTTGCTCTCCTCTATCACACATTTGATGCCATCCATAGTACAATTAGAACACGTGACCTCACCGTCCGCTGTAATGTGGTATCTTTGCATCACATCGCAACGAACCTTTCTTGCTCTACAAGCGGCGCATGCTTTTGCCGCTCTCCTCTTGACGGGCTTAGGGTTCCCATCTTTATCAATCCCAGCAGCTGAAGAGTTGCGCTTTTTCGTACTTGAATCTGCTGAAGTTGGGGATTGTAAGGAACTCGAGTCGTTCTTCTCGGCACTCATGATGGCGGCGGACATTTTATTGACACGCGACACATGTGCTTGCTAGCTTGGCGCAAAACAACTTATAAATCCGTACGTGATAGAGAGGCTGAAGGTAAACTCGAATAGGAGAAGATCTAGAGCACCAAAAATTTCAATCGTCCGGAATATCCTCACGGAGGGATAAGCTCATGCTTAAGTACGGAGCTTCCGCCAAGTTGTGGAGTAGTGGGGAGGGGAGCTACATAATTTCCAAACAACAGATGCAAGGAAGGCATTCCGAGCTAGGATGAATAGGGCTTGAAGAGAGAAATCATATACGGGGATTGTGGGGACTTTCCATTTTAGTTTATGCCGTAGGAAGATAAGTCGGATCTTGTGCCGCGTCGCGTCCATTATTTTGTAATGGCTTTTTCCTCACCAGACGGTTGCATGTGTTACTCCGCTTGAATGGAAGGCGCATGTGAGTTTCGCCACGGAGTAGAGCAATTGTACTGTATACAGATCCGCCAGACCGATTGATTGATATGATGATCCATTTATTACAAAGTACAAAGTGTCGTTTTACATAGCTCTTCGCTCTGCAGCCAAGTCCTGTCAATTATGCTTTTCATCTCCAAGATCCAGAGCAAGTGGCATCCCCCACCACCACCCTAGACCCCTTCTTAGGCCTTTTCTCCGCATAAAGTCCTCGTACAGCCAATCAGCAGATGGATAATCAGACATCTCAAGTGAGCTTTGTAATTCCCTCCTAGACGCTGGTCTGGCCAAAAGAAGACGGGAAACAGGGGTACAGCCCACTTCTCCAGAAATCGGCAACTGGAGCTACATCTCCGGGGAATCTTAGGAACGGTCTAACTATGAGACGTCAGACATCACAGGGTTCGGAAGGATTCGTGCTGGATGGAGAAGCATTTCGGAGTATCGGCTGGAAACGGCTAAGGGGGGGGGGGGGGGGTAGAAGATGCGTGTTCTCAAGTTGATGTTTCTTTACAACTGGAAAGCTCAACTTCCTTCTTGATAAAGTACCTTCCTACCCATTAAAACCCACTTCGTCTGAGGCAGTTCCAGTACCACTTCGGCACTTCCCTTCCGCGGGTTTCCCATTAGTAATCTGGATCAACTCCATAAAAGCTTCAAATTCTGCTTATGGATCTTCAATTTTCAATCTTCAAACACACGATTCATGCTTACAAACTAGTAACAGCAGTGGCTTTTCAATTACCGAACATTCCCGAGGAAAAAGGGACGTGCGAGATAGAGCACGTGAAGGGTCCTTGCGCATCTTCATGTGATTCGATGCTGGCCATGACATGGATTGCGAGGCACAGGGGTTCGGGAAAGCCGACAATTCCAAAATGCGGTATCGGTATTTGTAGTCTGTCCGTGCTTCCGTTCGCGGGGTTGAACAGTTAGATGGGGATGGATGGCTTTCTTCAATTGCACCGAATAAGATGCGCACTTTCACCCTTTCATCCGAAGTTCAATTCATCCAGGATTCCAGGTACGCGGTGATCATTCCCCGCATTATTGATGCAATGTATGAAATACCAAGTGCCATCAAGGCTCCCTTGCACGATGACCTGATACTCCGTAGAACAGATGCTGTATATAGCAGTGGTCTCCCTGTGCCTCTTTATACCTGTTTTGGCTTTCCTTCGTCTCTCACACGACCAAAGCCGTAAAGTTTAACGGTGGTAGTCCAGCTCCGCCACAAAGAGGCAGAGCTGAACGGGAGGTCATGATGGACTTTGATACACGTGTTTTACCAGATGAACGTCTCTTCTTTTCTTACCTGTTTAAATCACATTTGATTTTGATTTTCCTTCCTTCTACTTTCCAAATATTACCTTCAAAGTCTCGCCTCTTTCAGACCGAGCTTGTCGAAGGTAGGCCAAGGAATCTGCGTTGGGATCTATTTCGATGTTGCTCATCTACAACTCCTTTGCTAGGTAGGCCATGTGATTTCCAATTAAGAATGGTGAAATGACCTTTTGCTTCAGCCCGAGTGGTGTATGTCTTTGAACAGAAAACGACACGAGAGGCAGGGGGCAGGTCTACATACATGCCTTTAAGCCCCTGAATCAGCCGCAAGCCTTAGGCCAGTCTAAGCGAAAGGGTAACAACGTCAACGTCACCGCTGGCAGTCCTGATGTCATCGGCATGGAAGTGTCAAAGAAAGGGAATTTGAATCTGCATTTGAATTTGTAGTTAGTAGTCATTATCTGCCATGATGAGTTTATGACTTCATGCATGCGAACCGCACTTAGCTTCTTGATCTAATAGCAAGAAAATCTCCGACATTCTCTTCATACTCAGTCAGTCCTTGCATATTCAAAAACATCGCAATTACTCCGCAGACAAACATTACTCACGGTTGCAAATAGTCCCTGAATCAGCTCGTACAATCCTTGATCCCAGTCTTCATCCCAGTTGAATACTCCTTGAAACAAAACGACGAGCCCCACCTTCAGAATGGCAGCAACTCCCGACCAATTCGAGGGTTTCTTGATTAAAGATACCAAGAATTGGAGTACCTTTACTAAAGAAAAGGTATATCCCATCGCTCTCCTTTCCTAACCTCTTCTGACAGTCAACAGTTCACTCCTAAAGTCTTCGAGGACCATGATGTCGATATCCAGAGCGAGTGTTGCGGGGTCTGTGGCAGTGATGTATGTTGGTTCTAGAAGACTCTCAAATCTGTTTACTTCTTTATTTTCTACACGACTCCTAACTTGCAAATAAAGGTACATCTCATAACCGGTGGATGGGGTGATCTCCCAACATCCCCCATCTGCGTTGGCCATGAAGTCATTGGAAAGGTCCTCCGCGTAGGGAGCAAAGTCACCACCTGCAAGGCTGGCGATCGTGTCGGAGTCGGTGCCCAGATCCAAGCCTGCTTGAAATGCAAGAACTGCAAGGAGCATAACGAGAACTATTGTCCCCACAAGGTTGGTATGTTACTCGGCACTTCAATACTGTATGCTTATGTGACCCTTGCTGATTATGGTAGATACTTACGGTGCACCGTACAAGGAGGATGAAGGCCATAGCGAAGTCGCCATGCAGGACAAGAACGGCAAACAGATCTTCTCGCAAGGGGGCTACTCATCCCACATCCGCGCTCACGAATACTTCGTCTTCCCCATCCCCGAAAACATCCCTTCAGTCGAGGCAGCACCCATGATGTGCGCAGGCCTAACCACATACTCGCCTCTTGTCCGCGCCAAAGTAGGCCCAGGAAAGAAAGTTGCAATTCTCGGTATCGGCGGCCTAGGTCACTTCGCCCTCCTCTTCGCCCGGGCCCTTGGTGCTGAGGTCTGGGCTCTGTCACATACGCCTGGCAAGAAAGACGAAGCGCTCAAGCTGGGTGCTCACCACTTCGTCTCGACCAAGGACAAGGATTGGGCGAAGCCTCTAGCTTTCAACTTCGACTTTATCCTCAATTCGGCAGATATGACGAACGAGTTTGACCTGCCTACTTACTTTGGCACGCTTGCTTGCAATGGCGAGTTCCATAACGTGGGGTTGCCAGACAAGCCATTGCCGGAGATTATGGCGCAGGACTTTGCTTCTAACGGCTGCAAACTTACTGGTTCTCATATTGGTAACAGAGAAGAGGCACTGGCTATGTTGAAGCTTGTGAGTGAGAAGAAATTGAAGCCTATGATTGAGACGATTGATATTTCCGAGGAGGGGTGCAAGAAGGCTGTTGAAAAGGTCAAGGTTAATGATGTGAGGTATCGTGTTACTTTGACTGGTTTCAATAAAGCTTTTGGGACGTAGAGGGTATTGGGAAGATTGAAAGCGGCTTTGGCATACTTGGAGCATGGCGGTACTGTATGTACTGTATGATTGTAGCATGGATGATGGCGATGGCTCCAGAAGATGGAAAGAAACGATGGGCTCTTACAAGCTGCTTCTCTTCCGCTATACTGTAGCACGTTACAACAACACAACTCTTCATTCGCTACTCTTTTCAACCAAAATAAGATTCCACGACATTCTCACACTTGGTAGAATCCAGAGTCGCGTAAACTGTACTGTGGTTGTTTATTCAACATTTTCTGCGAATCCCCATGCAAATCAAGGACCATCCAAGGGCGGGGTGTTCAGCACTCAAACTGTGGCTGAGTCCGTGCACTGCACTGCACCGCCACACAGTAGATCATTCTCAAACCCCACCCCGTCTAAATTATGTGGGATGACCATGTATGACGTTGGAATAGCAGATCATCATTACATTTTCCGCAGCAACCTCACGAATGAGAAAGCTTCAAATCCAAACGCTTGATAGGAAAGAGTTTAATGTACCTCTTAGTATCTCCGTAGAGACTCTGACGAGGAGCCTCCTCGACATTCCACTGCCCTTTTAATCATGTGTCACAGCGTCTATAGTTGAAACTAGGAACCAAGTAATAATCCACCCAGTCCACTCCCGAGGTCGATCATCCCAGATCTTAGGGTTGGAACAATCATAGCCTGCTGCCTACCTTTTAGGGCTCCGCACATCTCTTATATACTCTTGTCCCCCGGATTCTCGTCACCCCTACTTGTACACCACACCACACCACACCACACTACACCATCCCCCTCCACTCCATCAACTCCATCAACTCCATCACCAAATACCAAATCTTCCCATCATCAAAATGGGCTTCGCCGGCGTGGCTCTCAAGAGCGTTTCCTTCTTCCTACGCATCATCGAATTCTGCTGCGCAGCCATCATTCTCGGCATATTTTCCTACTTCCTCGCCGTCCTGTCGAACCATAGCCTAGGAATCTCTACCTATGTGAAAGCCGTAGAAGGCATTTCAGGAGCGGGAGTCATATATACCCTCTTGGCACTTGGTTTCGTCTGCTGTCTCGGTGGTATTGCATTCTTCTCGTTCCTCGGAATGCTACTCGATCTTGCCTTCACCGGTGCCTTCATCTACATTGCGTATGCTACACGCCACGGCGCCAACAGCTGTTCCGGCATCGTCAATACACCGCTTGGAATTGGAAACACGGCGACCGGTCAAAAAGTCTCCAATGGAAGCGGTGGTTCTGTTCACCTGCCTAAGCTGCATACAGCATGCAAGCTCAACACTGCAGCATTCGCCGTATCCATCATCGCAGCGTAAGCTTACCTCCTCCCCCCTTCCACACCCAAACAAAACCCAACAAGACTCAACTGACCCACAACAGCGTCTTCTTCTTCCTCTCCATCTTCCTCGAACTCGCCCTCGCCCGCCACCACAAGCGCGAGAAAGCCTTCGGGCCCTCCCCCAACAACGGCTACACGGCCGGCTCGCCGAAACGCAAATTCTGGCAGCGCAAGCCCAAGACCGCGGCCCGCGACGCTGAGTTTGGCGAGAAACCGGATGCCTTGCCCGCGCACGTTACGCCGGCGGATGCCACGCTTCGACATAGCTATGGGACCGAGAGCACGGCTGTGGGGACCGAACCTACGTATATGAAATACGGAGCGCCGACTGCGGCGGGGGGTCTGAATCAGAATCAGAGTAGTGGTGTGGTTAACCATGGGGGATGGCAGACCACTACTTCGACGCATGTTCCGGGGCAGGCGACGGAGTTGCCGGCGAGTAACCCTGCGAGGGCATATTGAGCTTTTGATCGATTACTTGTAATCTGTCTGTTGTCGCGGGACGTTGAAATTAAATTAGGTTTGTGGATACCCACCTACGGACTATAGGCGATAGGGATAAGGATATTGGAGGAGATTGTGGAAAATCTAAATGATACCATGACATTCGATTGATTTATATACAGCTACCTTAGGCAGCTATCTAATAACTAATAATACAACATCTATACACATAAACGTCTAAACCTAACTAAACCCATTCAATATCCCCTACTTGCTCGTCATGTCTCGTTCGTTTCCTCGGATCTCTTGACAGCCATGAAGGCGATGAGCCCTCCTTATAAGCCCCACGCAGTGGC